GTCGTTGCGCCCTRTGACCTCTGGACCCACCTGTGTGGCCTGCGTCGGAGGGGGGGATCTTCCTGGTCGTCCTCCTCTTCCCCTTCCCTCCCCATCTCTGGTCGTGTGTTGTTGTTGACCGGGGGTTGGATGTCGGGGGATGAACCGTTCCCTGTCTGTTGTTGCCGATTTGGACTGTTGCCACTTTCCTCCCTTGGTGGCAGGTGTTGTTTCTTTCGTAGGATGCAGGCCGAGGTTTGTKGCAGTGTTTCCGGTCRGCCTTGTCCTCTCCAGACCCAGCATCCTGGAGAGTCCTCCTCTTGGGCGACGAACACCCATCCGATTARTGAGTCGTCCTTTGGTGTCCAGSTGCGGGCGTCCTTWGGGTGGGGGACCACTATGCCTCTAATGKTTTTTTTYYGTGATTTGGGGCATTGAGTGTCTGTGCACAGGTGGCCTTTTTCCTTACATGCATAACACCAGGGATCCTGGGTGTGGCTGACAGGTACGGCTACTGTATTTCCCCCATATATGTAATTCCATGACTCTGTTAGAGGGAAGGACTGAGCGGGGTCCCAATCAACCGCTACGAGAAGTGTATCATCTCGCTTTTGCAGGAAGGATGGTAGCTCGTGCACCACTCTCTTAATCGTGAGGCCACAGGAAGCTGGCAATGGCCCCCTTTAGGGTCCCAATTTGGCCTTTGCTCGGGATATAGGACAGCCCTGACATACCCGATAATCGCCAGGAGTGAGTGATTGATCAGCAAGTCTCTACCGAATGGTCCAGCAGAAGTGTGGCCAAGCCATCCCGCCAGCCTGCAGAGACCAGGTCATCCACCTGCCTCTTCCCCCCTCTATCCGCCGCCATCATGATCCCTTTGCTGCATTACTTTGTCGACCTGGCTTGATAGATCCTTCGGCAGAGCTTTTTTTTTTTTTTTTTTTTAAATGGGCCCAGTGCCCAAGGCTGATATTACCAATAAGAAGATCGAGGCCGAGGTCGGACAGCCCATAACGAAAACAGCCGGTTCGTCTTTTTGGGCCCATGAAGGGCATTTCCAGGCTTGGCATAACAACCTGTCCATTACAAGTGTCTCGGGCAATCACTGCTGGCAGGAGTATACTGTTCTGAAAGCCATTATAATGTTCAGGGACGCTGGACCCGATTTCCAACAGGTGCAGCTCCGCTGACCCAGATCTTAGCATGGGACGCTTACCTGTACAGTCAATCCCCACTGTCCCGGGCAATCAATGCTGGCAGGAGTATACTGTGTTGAAAACCATTATAATGTTCAGGGACGCTGGACCCGATTTCCAGCAGGTGCCGCTCCCCACCAATAGATGGAGCCTCCCTGGGAGTGCTAGCGGTGTCTGCTCTTACCAGCACCCCTAGCACCACCC